TTACAATAATGGCCAATGTTAAGAGAATGCCAAATGCTGACAGGAGTGTAAAATGACATAAACCCTCATACTTTTCTGGTGGAAGTATAAATATGTACTTCACTTTGGAAAATTATTTGGTATTATCTGCTCAAATTGAAAATATGCATACCCTACCACTCAACAATAAGTTCAAGGTGTGAGAATTACATGTGTGCACCAAGAGACATAAAACTGCTCACAGCAATATCAATCATAGTGGCTTCAAAATGCAAATGATCCAAATGTCCTTCAGTAGTAGAATGCACAGCATATACAAACAAATGAATATTATACAAAAATGAAAATTAATAAACTAAAGCTATAACTGAAAACATTGGTGAATCCCACAAAAAACAACATTGAACAATAGGGAAAGACACAAACACCCCTATAAGTTCATTTATATAAAATTCAGTAACTAGCAAAACACCCAGTGTAGTAAGACAAGCTAGAGATCCTTTTGGGGAGCAGGGGTAGATAGTGACTAGAAAAGAGCACTAAGAGGGATTTGTAGAATGTAACTACCAAGATAGTAGTTATACACATGTTGATGATCATTGAGTTGTACATTTGGGGAGGAAGGATGGTTCATGGCATCCAATAATAGTAACCGACACATCAGAGGGAGAATCTGGGCCACCTGACTTATATCCAAGTTTCACCAAATAAAGAGGCAGAAGCTTCTCAGGTTCAATGGTTCTTGAGCCTAGCTGGATACTAAATCACCTGGGATACTTTTAAAAAAGATACCAGCGTCCAAGGAAATACCCAATATTAATGAAAGTCTTTGAGGGTGGGGTCCAGCATAAATATTTTTTAAAGATTTTATGTATTTATGTATTTATTTATTTGAGAGAGAGAGAGAGTAGGAGGGAGGGGAACGGGGGAGGGGAAGAGAGAGGGAGAGAATCTTAGAGTCTACCCTGAGCACAGTGCCCAATGTGGGGCTCCATCTGTGACCCCAAGATCACTACCCAAGCTGAAACCAAGAGCCATACATTTAACTGACCGAGCCATGCATGCCCCCCAAGGATCAATATTTTTTAAAGTTCCTCAGATGATTTTAATGTATAATAGGGCTTGACAGGGATGTTCTAGAGCTTCATTTGTGAAATTTTAGTGTATATATAAGTTACCTAAGTATATTATTAATGTACAGATTCTGATTCAAAAGGTCTGGGCTAGGGCCTGAGATTATGCATTTCTAACAAGCTCCAATGGGATTGCTAATATTGCTGTCTCATGCACTACACTATTTTTTTTAAATTATTTAAATTGTTTTAGGTAGGTTCCATGCCCAATGTGGAGCCCAATGTGGGCTCAGGACCCTGGGATCAGGACCTGAGCTGAGATCGAGTCAAATGTTTGACCTGAGCCACCCAGGTGTCCTGCACCACACTTTATATAGCAAATTTTCTAGAACAATGGGTCTCAAGGTTGGCTGCACATTAGAATTATCCGGTGGTACTTTAAAAAAAAAAAAAAAAAACCTACAGGTTTAGGCCCTATCCCAGAGGGTCTGACTAGTGTGGGGTTTGGCCATCACCATGTTTTTAAAACTCACAAGTATAGTCAATGTTGAGAACCATTGTTCTGAAAAATTGACACACTGCATCCAGCTATGAGAAAAAAAAAAGAAGAAACAGAGGGAACAAGTTTATTTATGTTTGTTTACTAAGCATTTGTAAGGTGATGTGAACATATTTTTTCAAGTACTAGAAAAAAACGAAAATTCAAAATACCCATTAAAGTTTAGTCCAACATATGTAATCCATTCTCAGAATCTAAGAGGAAGTCTGGACTAACTGTAAGTAGATGAAGGATTGAATGAGAAAATCCACATAACTGTCTCTTTATTACATTCCCAGACTCCACCTCATGAAAAAAAACAAAACAAAACAAAAAATCCTGAAAGTGTCAAGGACACTTTTACACCTCCACTCTCGGTCTACTGACTCAGACACAACCATCCTTTTATCATGCAGGTGAGGATACCCAACAGAATTTTCTTTACCAAGTCCCAACAATATTATTCTACCCGGCTGAAGTACATGGTATTTGGAGAAGTTTAATGTTCTAACTATATACAGTGATTGAAACAAGGAGCATACTGATGGCAGTGCATCTCTAAGAAAAATAATGGGGAAACTGTACAAATGCTACAAATCAATGGAGAATCAAAAATAATCTCAATGGCCCAAAGATCATACCTCTGAAAATTATCTGCTTCAGGAATGAAAGAAAATGCCCAGAAATACCTGGGAATCATCAATAGACTATAAAAATAGACTCTGTCAAGAACAAGAAAAACTAATTAGGAAAGGACAAGAAGAAATAAAAGAAAGGGGCACCTGGGTGGTTCAGTCAGTTTAGCGTCTGCCTTTGGCTTAGGTCATGATCCCAGGGTCCTGGGACTGAGTCCCGCATGGGGCTCTCTGCTCAGCAGGGAGTCTGCTTCTCCCTCTGCCCCTCCCCCCACTCACTTTCTCAATCTCTCTCTCTCTCTCACTCGAGTGCTCTCTCTCAAATAAATAAAATCTTTAAAAGAAAGAAATATAAAGAAAATAGTATGAGATAAGCAAGAACTTTAATAAAACTAAAATGCAACCACAAAATCAAAACCAATAATAGAAATAGTAAAATGCAGAACTGATATTGCAGAGAATCAAGTGGATAATATGAGAAACTAACTTCAAACCACAAAGGGAAACGACAAAGAACAGATATCACTAATCCAACATACAGATAATTAATGTTTACAAAGAAGATAACAAAGTGGAACAGAATCAGATAAAACAGGAAAATGTAATGTAAGCGGAAAAATATCAGTGTATGCATACTGCAAAGGATTTTTAATACACCCATCACTAGGCCTGTCTTAGCAATTTTCTTAATTAAAGGAATCCAGAAAAATGTCTATAAGCATTCAGGCTTAAAAGATATAATCTTGAAAAATGAAAAAAAAAAAAAACAGAGACTACAGATTTCTTTGCAATGCTTACTGAAAACAGGTACTGAATAAAGAAATATATATGGAATATTAAAAGTAAAATAATTACCCCAAACTTGATATGCCACTAGCTTCATATTTGAATACAAGGGAATGACTAAAGGGGTACCAAGGGTTTGAGAGAGATCAGGGACTGTTTAAAATGACAGAGACTCAATCCTGTTTAAGAAATGGTGAGAACGCTCAGATTGTTTTTCAGAGTCCATAGTCTCTCATGGTTCACCTCCCCTTCCAATTTCCCTCAATTCCCTTCTCCTCTCTATCTTCCCTTGTCCTCCATGCTATTTGTTATGCTCCACAAATAAGTGAAGGGCGGGGGTGGAAGGTTGGGGGAATCAGGTGGTGGGTATTACAGAGGGCACAGATTGCATGGAGCACTGGGTGTGGTACAAAAACAATGAATACTGTTACGCTGAAAAGAAATTAAAGAAGAAGAAGAAGGAGGAGGAGGAGGAGGAGGAGGAGAAGAAGAAAAAGAAGTGGTGAGAACGATCCAGTTGAGAGGAAGAGGTCAACCAGATTATAAATTGTGTACATCTCCAGATGGTAGGGAACAGGAAATAAACATAAACATAATTGAAAAGAAAACTCCCTTGTTGCATCAAAAGAAAGTTGCAGATATAGACAGATAGATATGCTTAATAGGGAGAAGCTGTATGAGATCATTCTGATGACGCATTGACCCTCCAAAGTAGAAAGCATCTGCCAAATGATAGTGAAGAAAGGGATGGTGGAGAATGAGGAGAATTTTGAACAGTTAATTTAAAAATCAAAGAAATAGAATAGAACTGAATAGGCGCTGTTAAAGGTCAAATTTTTTTTTAAAGATTTTATTTATTTGACAGAGAGAGAGATCACAAGTAGGCAGAGAGGCAGGCAGAGAGAGGAGGAAGCAGGCTCAGTGCTGAGCAGAGAGCCCGATGCGGGGCTCGATCCCAGGACCCTGAGATCATGACCTGAGCCGAAGGCAGAGGCTTAACCCACTGAGCCACCCAGGCACCCCAAGGTCAATTTTATAATGAATTTAAGCAGTTACATTCTGCCCTCTTGAATGATTTCATCCAGCACAGTGTGCTCATTGGGGCTGCATAGAGAAAGCAGGAACACAGAGGGACCCCAATACAAGTATGATTAAGTGGGAGTGAAGGTATGAATAAAATTAAAACAGGGAACCTATGATATTTAGAATATTAGCAAAAGCATTACTAAAATTATAGGCTATGAAGTCAGAGTAGGGTAAGAAAATAATGAAAAAAAGATGAGAGCACGGACAGAAAAAAAGTAGAGAGGTCAAGCATTTGCACAGGCAGGTAAGCAGGAGAGATGTGTGGTCAGAAAGCAAAGTGAATGCACTGATGACCTCAGTGGCAGAGTAATTATGGATGAATACTTGAGCTAGGTGTAGTGGAAGGAAAGGGTCAGAGGAGAGGGGAATGTCAAGAAACTGAAAGCCAGGTTCTTGGTTATGCCATGTACACAGGCTTTCATAGCACTCAGAGATTGCTAACAACTTCTGTATCACTATATTTTGATATTCTGTATCTACTTCCAGGAAGAAGAATCACAATAGTAGAATGTCCACGTCCTTAGAGGGAAATTTGGTCAGCATCAGCAATAGTATGTGGGAACTTAATAAAGATATTTTCCCATCCCGGGGGGGTTAACTGTTTAGAGCAATGACTATTATTTGTATATATTATCGAGAGTTTATACAACTAAGTTTTACAACTTATATGTATTTCCTCAATCACAAATCTAAACCAACTCTCACCTTCATGAAGCACAACCTGAGAAAAATAAAGATCAAGGTTTCTCTCTCTCACTTCTCCCCCATCAGACCAACCAATGTCTTTTGTAAAGTATAAACAATTTTATGAGTATGAGGTATGATTTCTAATTATGGATTTAAGCAAGTATAAGATTATTACCATTGCAAATTTAATAAAAAAACAAGAAGACAGATTCTTACCAAAGGAAGGTGATTCCCTCCCATCCTCTAATCCTGAATCTCTTTCTCTGTCTCTCTTTCTGTGTTTATGACCACGATGCCTGTGACGTCGATGGCTTTTTCTTCCTCCCAGGGGCACGTGAACTCCAATAAATAGTGTCCGATGACCTTCATCAGAAGCAAATGCATAATTAAACTCTAAATTATTCCAAAGTGCAGAAGATGATGATTTACACTTCAATGGAACTCAATTCAATTCAACCCAGCAAACCATTTTTGAGTGTTTATGGTATGTAAAGCTTGCGACTTGGCATGTATTTTGGCGCTTAGACCTACTGAAAACACCACAGATCTATCAGAAACATTTACAATACTAATAGTTTGGTTATATATCTTATAATCACCATAAGTTTATTAATTGTCTTAATCTCTCTGTGTCTATTCCTCATAACTTATAATTATACTCTTCTCATTAAGAAAATTTATTCTATTTTCTCCCTACCCTCAACTGTTATCTCACCAGTCCCCTTCCCTTCACAGTTAAGTGTGTGAAACAATTACTATCTCAAAAAACAGATTTCACCAATGTCCACAGTAATGCCAAATTCCGTGGAAATTTTTTGGTTCTATTATTTCTCTCTGTGGCACTTGATACTATTGACCACTCTCTTCTTGATGACCACTTTCTCTTGGCACTCCTTCTCTGTTTTGTTCATATTAGGTTTTTTTGCTGGTTCTTCTATTTATCCATTCAAAGTTGGAGATCCCCAAGCTCTATCTTTGACTTTATGATTTCAGCTGATACATATTTATTACAGGCTCTGAGACCTAAAACTTGATGATAGATTGCTCTCTTGGGCTGCAGGCCTATGCATACCTCCACTTATTAGATATATTACTTGCATATCCTTCCCACAGGCATGTCAAACAACATGTCCATGGAACTCATCCTCTTCTCTGTTCCAAGTATCAGCCATCTATCCTCTATGTTAGTAAGTGCACCATCTATCCAGTCATCTCAGAGACCATCTAATTTATCACCAGGTCCTCCTTTACATCTCTAGAATCCATTCCCTCTTCAGTATCCCTAGTGTTGCTGTCTTAGTTGGACTCTGATCATTTCCTACCAGGACTACTAGAACATTCTCCTTCCTGCTGTTTTTTGTTTTGTTTTGTTTTGTTTTGTTTTCCTCTCAAGCTACACTCTTGTCCCACTTTTTATCCATCCTGAATGCCGATGGCTTTTCCCCCCCAAAAATGCAAGTCTGGGGACGCCTGGGTGGCTCAGTTGGTTAAGCAGCTGCCTTCGGCTCAGGTCATGATCCCAGCGACCTGGGATCGAGTCCCACATCGGGCTCCTTGCTCATCAGGGAGCCTGCTTCTCCCTCTGCCTCTGCCTGCCATTCTGTCTGCCTGTGCTTGCTCTCCCTCCCTCTCTCTCTCTGACAAATAAATAAATAAAATCTTTAAAAAAAAAAAAAAATGCAAGTCTGACTACATTATTCCCCTACTTTAAACTCGTTGATCATTCTCTGTTGCTTATATGAGAAAGCTCTTAGTTCTCTTTAAGGCCAAATGATATCTGACCTCTGCCTATATCTCTGGCATACTTCTAAATACATTCTGCTTCACATATTATAAGCCAATGTGAGCCCCTTCATCCTTTTAGCCAAATGTCCTCAAGTCTCTGTTTTTAGTTAATATTGTTCTTATTCTTCCAATTGTAGGAAATGTCTTTGTCTCTCCTAATTATCTGGTGAAAACCTACTCATCTTTCAAGTCTCAGTTCAAGGATTATGCGACCCATAAAATTTTCTAAATACAGTTGACCACTTTTTTCCTTAAGGACCCTCCAATACTTAATAACACTTGATTGTAATTACTTACCTAAAAGTCATTTTTTTTCTTATAAATCTTCTCTGAGAAGGACACTATGTTAGTCAATTTGTATCTTTAGCAACACAGTGCCGGGCATACAGCAGATGCCTAACAAATGTTTACTGAGATAACAAACGTTTTATTGAGAGGTATGCCATGAATCAAGAATACAAATATAAAGAAGGTATTATTTCATTCCTATAAGTCATCAGGTTTCAGCCCTTCCCAACTTAAGAAAAAAGTGGGACTCACAAGTGTGATGTATTGCCCTGGGTATCCCTTCCCTGAACAAACATATCAGAATAAATGAAGAGAAGATGTGAACCCCAAAACAAACACGCATTAATCTATGCATTCAATACAATTACAAATTTCTAGCATTATTATTTCAACATAACTAGACAAATAATGTAAAATGTATAAGGAAAAACTGAAAGAAAAATAACCAATAACATCTTGATGAAACTCAAGGAGGAAGAATTCACCTTATGAAATATCAAACTATACCACAAAGTTGTATACTTAAAGTAATTCACAATTTTGGAATCTTAAATGTTAGTAATTTCAAATTACTTGGACCATCACTACATTATTATTCTCTAATATGTTGAAGATTATTAATCAGGGGGAATGTGCAGAACATGAAAGAATTCAGACAGACCCTTGTGTAAAACTAGCATTTAAGAGTCAGAAAAAGAGGGCACCTGGGTGGTTCAGTTGGTTGAGCGATTGCCTTCAGCTCAGGTCATGATCCTGGAGTATCAGGATCAAGTCCTGCATTGGGCTTCCAGCTCCACCGGGAGTCTGCTTCTCTCTCTGACCTTCTCCCCTCTCATGCTCTCTCTCGCTGTCTCTCTTTCACTGTCTCTCTCTCAAATAAATAAATAAAATATTTTTTAAGTGTCAGGAAAAGAAATTAAATACTTAATAGTTAAAAAATAATGAAGTTATAGACTTTCAATTAAATATGGGAAATTAAATACCTGCTTTCTATCCCTATTGTCGCTGGACACTACATTCTTAATGCCAAGTTAGGAAACAATTTTTAAAGGACACTAAAAAAGAAATGATTAATAAGTTTTGTTACAATTAAGTCAGAAACTTCTCTTTATCATAAGAGTTGGGAGGCTACAAGGCATTAAAAAATGTATTTCTGGGGCAACTGGGTGGCTCAGTGGGTTAAGCCTCTGCCTTTGCCTCAGGTCATGATCTCGGGGTCCTGGGATCCAGCCATCTGCTCTGCGGGGAGCCTGCTTCCCCCTCTCTCTCTGCCTATTTGTGATCTCTCTCTCTCTGTCAAATAAATAAATAAAATCTTTTTTAAAAAATGTATTTCTAACACATATAACTGATAAAGGACTAACTAACAAGATATAAAAGGAAATCCTACAAATCCTAGGAAAAGATGAAAACCCAATGGGAACATAGACAAAAAACTTAAATAGGCATTTAATAAAAAAAAGAAAATACAAATTGCTAATAAATGTAAGAAGAGGTCCACTAGTTCTCAGGGTAATGGAAATTCAAACCATAATGAGGTATCTCTTTACTCCCACCATCTTGGCAAAAATTGAAATGGTTGACAATTCTATGTCTCAGTGTGGTATCATATAGTACCAGTAGTATTATACAAAACTACTTTGAAACAGTATAACATTCTTTATTAAAATTGAAAATATGCATACCATATAACCGAGCAATTTCCTTGGGCCCTAGAGAAGTACATGAAGATGTATAAAAATATAAGAGACACATATAAGAATCTCTACAACTGCACTGCTTATAAAGACAAAGTGCTGGAAACAACCCCAAAATCCATTAACAGAATGTATTAAGTAGAAGATATTCACACATTGGAATATATAGAACAATAATCCACAGGTATGCATAACAATATAGATGAATCTCACATACTACTGAGCAAAAAATATATATATAATATAATTTCTTTTATAAGGCTTTAAAAATAGAAAAACTAAAATATATTGTTCAGAGATGCATACACAGGAAAAGATCAATACAAAAGTCAGAAAACTTGTTACCTCTGGCATAAAGGTGAATAGGATCTGTGACTGGTGAGAGGAACATGAGGAGCTTCTGGGGTGTTAGAAATTTCTGTTTCTTGATACAAGTTTTTGCTTCAATAATATTTAAAATTTATACATAAGCTTTCTGTACTTTTCTGTATGTTTGTTTCACTTCAAAATTTAAAAAGTTAAAGAAACCAAAGAGGAAGAGTTTTAAAAAGGGGACAGCTACTAGTTTACATGCTATAAAGGAGTCAAACAAGATTAAAACTAAAAATTAGCCATTACAGTTGGAAATTGATGTTTATCTGTTATCTTCATAAAAGCAATTTCAGTGAATGAGGAAATGAGTAAAACTGAGGAAATTTAGGCAATGAATATTTCCTAGACGTGAAAATAAAGGCTTTACAGAGGGCAGTACTGGAACTAAATCTCAAGATTGCAAAGGTTTCTAGTAATTACTGCTGAAGATAACCATTCCCCAGACAGACAAAGATAAGAGGCATCAGACACCTTAGGTGCAAGTCCAGAGGGCCTGGCTGGGTATAGTGAATATTGTCTTTGTTTATGAAATGTAGATTCGACGGGCCTGTGCCAAAAGTAACATCCTAAAAAGTTGCCAAGTCAAGGCTAAAATAAACCATCTGAAACCATATCCAAGCATAATCAGATAAAAGGATGCCAAGACAGACAGCTGAACTGATGTCTTGAGGACATTAAATGCAAGGAAGACCAAACTGAAGGAGTTTCCTGAGGCAGAATCTTGCAGGCTGGTTAAAATATCAAAATCCACTTGGGTAAATAACTCTGATTGAATTGTTGGATCACATGGTAAGCTTATGTTTACCTATATGAGAAACTGCCAGACTGTCTTCCAAAGTGGCTGTACCATTTGCATTCCAACCAGCAGTGAATGAAAGTTCCTGTTGCTCCACATTCTTGCCAACATTTGATGTTGTCAGTGTTTTGGATTTTTAGCTATTCTAATGGGTATGTGGTGATATCTCACTTTTCATTTGCAATTCCCTAATGACACACAATATTGATCATCTTTTCATATGCTTATTTACTATCTGTATTTCTCCTTTGGTAAGGTGTCTGTTCAGATTTTTTCCTATTTTGTAATTGGATTTTTGTTTTCTTATTGTTGAGTTTTAAGGGTACTTTGTATATTTTGGATATAAGTCCTTTACTGGATATGTCTTTTGCAAGAATCTTCTCTTTAGTTTGTCTTTTCATTGTAACATTGTAACAGTCTTTCAT